GCGCAGAATGGTTTCACTAGGAAGAATTACTGCAATTATTGGAAAGTTATTTTGGTGGTTAAAGGGCCCTTACCAATAATCTCCTTGCAGGGATTGTCAGGGGTGATAGGAATCCTACAAGCTGGACACTGACTGTTGTTCTTCAGCCACACATCAATACAAATGGAACAAAATACGTGGTGGTTGACACAGATGACTGGATGACGTACCTTTTCCCAAAAAGAGAGATAAAAATATCTTCAGAGTGGTTTTGGTTTGCTTGCTTTTATTCTATCATCATCTATTTCTCCTTCTACAGTATTTAGCAAAGCTTTGGACTCAAAGAAAAACCTGATGAAAAGGCATATTTATATATATTAATTATACAGATGTTTTCATTGCAAGTGATTCCCAAAAGCTCTCAACAGCCTGTATCTGGACACAGACTCCCCTGGGTGGACAGCAACCAAAAACTGATTTGTAATAAGGGAGGAAGGGGGAAGGTTTCTGGCACAGGTCAGACTACTCCCCTTGCAAGAAGTGTCAGTGGAGCAGACAGGATTTCTGGGTGAAGTCATATCTGCAAAGAACAAACTGTGGGGCAGGACGGAGGCTGAATTTACCTGGCTGGTACTCTAACCAGTGGTTCTACTAATCCCTGAGCCAACCCATTCACTAAACATGCACTACTTTTAAGGTGACACTTTCCAAAAAAGCACAAGGCAGCTAAAATTTAAGCCAACACACCACAAAAACATTAAATTCTGCTACGTTCTTGAATAACTACAATATTCAATACTTCTCTTCTCATCCAAAGACACAAGGTAGCAGAAATAAGTTTACAAAATAAGAAGTGATTAGCTACATTTTATCTCCCTCTCTCTCAACTTCTGCTAACTAAAAACAAATTAATTTCCAAGGATCAAAAAGATAAGATGCATAATGCTGCATTTCACATCACTAAAAACTTTTGCTACGGTCATAATTTTTTTAGAGCAATTCATCCTCTCAAAATCTCAAGCCACCTTATAACTGCAATCAGATTTTAGATTTATCTATATCAAACAAAAACAACACAATGCATACACATGCATGTTTACCTCAGGTAAAACATCTCATATCTCCATTCAAAGTATCTACTTTTGAAACCCAGGGAAGTGACTGTATGTGTAAAAACAAAAACATTATGTTCATGTCTAAAGCACCTCTTTTAGAAAATATATAAAACCAAAGTTCAAAAGAAACAAGATTCACACAGAAAGATGGTAACTTAAGAACATTCCTTGGTAGTCTCGTTTGCTTTCATAAGAAGGAAATCTTGCAAGGAAACAAAAAGGAAACATGAAAAAAGTAAAGGAAGAGGACAGGTAACAACTAATTGGGAAGCCAGACTGGAAATGTTCTGAAGAAATTGTAAGTTAAAAAAAAATAAAGACTACAAAACAGAAAACAATAGGCATTTGCAAAACACTACCACTGAAACTGAATTAAGGACTAGTTTTGTCATCTATCCTCCAATTCATTTCTCACCTCCACAGCATTGCAGGATTAACACTATTTAAGACCTTTCAAAACTACAGTCCTAAAAACCTAAGGCTATGCCTACATGCAAATTGGCATTGAAAGAATGAAATCTCTACACCCCGAAATCTCTTCCAATTCACATCTTTGCTCATTTCATTGAGAGTCAAATGTGCAGACACTTGTTTTAAGTTAAGATGGTCCCATTGTAATAAAACCCAAATAATTTGAAAATCAAAAAGATCACTTTTCAGCTGAAAGAAGTGTCCATGCACAGCCTTAAACTAAAAGAGGTGTTAATTAAGCTCACTTATTTTGGTTACACTTGCACCAGACCCACTAATATGCAATATTAATACTACGGTAAATTAATAAAGTAGACATTAAAAATATTCTTGTAGTTTAGCCCCCCCCCCCCTCTGCAAATAGCTGCAACCTGTTCTCCCCTATATAAATCACTAAAGCAGCTTTGGTTTTTGCTTTCCTTTGCTTCTCATCTAGAAGCAACTTGAGAATGGTTAACAGTTACCAGAAACTCAAACTTAAGTACAGTCTAGCATAATAAGTATATATTAAAAAAACCCATTAAAATCAAAACAGAAAGAGCCATTTCAAAACTTCAGGCCTTTCCCAAGACAGCAAGAAGCCTTCAACTACCAAAAATCTGAAACAGGAGCACATTTCTTGCAAGTGAATAATTGTACCACACCATCTTCAACAAAATAGCAAATCACATTTAATGCTCTCTAGGGTACAGTGGTCCTGATTTATTCACCCTTATGAGTTTCACTGCAGGTTTATTTTTTAAAAGTAGTTTGGTACCAACATAAAGCAACAACATCATTGGAACTATTCAAATAGATGGACCTGTCATCCAAAACATTTTAGTAGAATACTAGGCACTAAAATGAATCATTCAAACAACACTTAGCAGCTTAAACTTTATTCATAACAGTTCTATTTCCTTAATATATATTATATACATATATGAAATTACTTTACAAAAGAATGCGACTTATCTGGGTAGTTTGAGATGACCTAGGGGATCTGAAGTGACCTCTTAGATCTTGCTATGCAAAAGATATGCAGAAATAACTGTTTCGGAAAGGTTGTCAGCACAACTAAATGGAAGTCCCAAATCCTGTGGCAATGTTGGCACTTTGAAAGCAACAGCGCTTTTAAAAATGTAATAAGTAAGTGTTAGCTGATTAACAGGCACACCATGAGCAACACAGGTATCATTATGTCAATGACAAAATTCCAAGAGCCTTAAACAGGTGCAAGATTTTGCACCCAAACTGCCAATACTTCAAATTATAAAAACTGAAACCATATTCCAAATATATTATCAATATGGGGGAACTAAAACTGAAGGCACAATGCAATGTAACATTTAACAAGGATAGTTCACAACACCACACACAGTTTTCATAAGTTATTGTCACACTGGAAGCACATTCTGGAACCGGCAATATACGTTTGTTAAAAAAGTTACTAATACTATGTTAAAAGGACATTCAGACTGCAGTCAAGCAGTCATAACTTAGCAAATACAAGAGTTACGGTTGTCTGCATAAATTTAAATAAGCCTCCTTGGCTGTAAGCATTACCATCATACAAATAAACATTGTTATGTTATTCCTCTCCCCTACAAGATTCCCCCCGCCCCCATTAAGCACAGACAATGGATATATAGCAATTCAGTATTTCTTTTTATGCTCACCATTCAATGAGTGACCCTACACCTTATTTACCATACACCATATAGACCCTGCCTTATTTCCCCCAAGGACAGCAAGGGTAACCTGAATCCAGGGTAAACCCTTTCCCAATTTCAAGGCCATACTTCGAAGAATAGAGCCACTAGAAATTCCACACACTAACCAAAAAAGCTGTAAGAATTGTGTTGAACTAAGTATTAGTAAAGCCACTTTTTCCCCTTGCTCCCCTCCAGTCTTGTTTGTTGGAAACAGCTGAGTTGGTTTCCCTAAACCCTTCCAAAAATCCTTTCAGCTGAGTACAAATACTTGCATTGAAAATTCCAGCCTGAGGAGTCTGGCAAAGTTTAAGCCACTGAAAGTGGGATCTTACAGACAGACATCTTAAGTAGTCTTAACAACTTAATGTGCAGGATTTTCTACCTTAGAATGCCAACCTTTATCTCAATACAAGATGTACAGGGAAAAGGAGTACTGTGGAAAAATCCTCGCCCAGAAACAGTAGAGCTTGAAGAGCATTCAGTATAATTTCTTATCCATTTTAAAAAGCATGACACTAAACATATGCTGTTTAACAGAAAACCATGAAGGCACAGGGATACTAAAAGGTATTTACACCTCTGCTACTAGGGGGATGGAACTCCTATCTATATCCATGGGATTGCCAATTGTTGCTGGTGTTTTCACACTAAGGCCACAAGTTTCTTGGTGGTCTTCTGCAGTTCAGGTTTAAACAGAATCTGGATCCAGGCCCTCATCTGGCAATTTTGTTTGGTCTTAGCAGAAAAGCCACAAAATGAAAAGCCACAAATGAAAAATCTGCCTATCAGAGCAGAGACACTGGTCATAAGTGAGAAGCTGTGAGTAATGACACCACTTACACTGTACCCACTTTATAGGCAGGGCACCTTCATCCCTCCTCCGTGCAATTTTAAGTGAAAGCAGGTGAAGAGAAAGAGGAAAACTACAGTGGCCAAAAGTTTAATAGTCTGAGCACAAAGACTATTTTCTGCCAAGAGTCTCTTTTGGGTTTTTTTAAAGATAAGGAAAGAGAGAGGAATGAGTGTAGGACAATAGAAATGGAAGAGAAATGATTTAGTCATGGAAATAAGTTCCTGAAAACAAACAAAAAAACCTGTAAACATACTGACTTTTGGCATTGGGTCTCCCTAGTTGAGAGAGAAGAGAGTCTGGCCCAGGAGAAGCTTGAGTAAGAAATGAAACATTCCTTTACCTCCCTAGCCGCTAAAGAGAGATTTTGGCTTTATCTGCCCAGTACATTTTGTATGCCCAGCTAAGACCTGAAACAGGTTTGTATCAATGATCCTTTGCCCTGTACTACCTATCCTCAGAAAAATATTACCAGTAAAAAAGCATCCCAGTCCCACAACCCTCTAGGGAGGAGGGACAGGATCACCTTATCCTGAAGTCTCCTCACCTCCTTCATAGAGTCAGGGAAGGGCTAAGTAGTGCCTGGAGGCCACTCCTCCAAAAGGCCACTTCCTCTCATGCTCTGCTGGAAATGCCTCTTTTAAAGAGGTTCCTTGGATAAATGTGATCTCTTTTATTAGAGCAACTAAATACTTGGAAAAAATTGCTTTTGGATACAAACACCCTTCTTCTGGCATTAGGGAGAGTCTGCTGGTGTTTTGTGTTGTCCTGGATGGACTAGCAGCCAATATGCAAAATGCAGGCTGTGAAAATGCAAATGCATGGCGAAGAGGATCAGAGGCCGTGGGAGACAATAGGTAGGAGACAGGTGAGGGGGAGGCGGAAGAACATAGAGAGAGAGAGTGTACTTGGTTTCTTTTAAAGAGCGCATGTTCCCCACCCTCCGAAAGGTGGCAATACAACTTGCTGGGAAGGACAACCCCACTCGTCGAGACAACCACTAACCAGCGCGTCTCCTCTTCCTTGTCCCCTTTCTCCCGGGGGAGCAGCAGCAGCCTGTTTCAAGGGGCCGGCTTCCCCCGAAGCACATGCACCAGCCCAAATCATGGCTGCACTTGCCAGGCTCCTGAAAGCAGCAGCCTCCCGAGGCGATCTCCCCTCCCAGGCATGGGGCAGAGCTGCCCGGCCTCCCCCTGCCCTCCTGCAGGGCGCGGCGGCCCCTGGCCCGCGATCCGTACCTTCCCCAGGCAGATGTGGCAGGTGATGGGCAGCGTGAGCGCCAGCGTGACGTTCTGGACGTTCTGAGCCATTGTGGCGTTTCGAATCCCGCGAGCACGGAAGTTCCACGGGCGGCGGCAGCGCCAGCGAAGGCAGCTCGCTCTCAAACTCCGGCTACGGCAAGCCAGCGAGGCCAATTCCCTGCACGGGCGAGGGAACGGAAATCGCGTTTTTGAAATGTTTCCCCTGGAGGAGCAGAGGGGACCAGCAGGAAGCTGGCGAACCCGGCTCCCGCGGGCTCTGGCATGCTGCTGCCACCCGTACTGAGCGCCTCCTGTCCCCTTGCTGGGCTAGGAAGGTGCATGCAGCTCTTTCCTCCTTAGTCTAGGCACACACGCCTTGGCTGGCCAGGAATCAGGACTCGTGGTAGAGGTGAGTCTTTTATTAGACCAACTAACCAACTTCTTTTATTAGACCAACTAGATTTTTGCAAAAAATAAATAAATAAATAAAGTCTTTATTTGCAAGCTTTTCTATGCCTGGAAAAGGGTGCTTGTGCCCGAAAGCTTGTAAATGTATGTGTATCTATATCTATATATGGATATAGATATAGATATATATAGAGAGAGAACTCTGTACAATGTATTATTTTTATTTTGCAAAACAATCTAGTTGGTCTAATAAAAGATATCACCTGTACCAGAACTTCTGATTCCTTTTGCCTCTAGACCAGTGTGACAGGTCTGCTTACCGCTGGGTACCACTAGCGGTATGCAGACCTGTCAGTGGTATGCATTAACAGATTTATTATAATTATATGACAGAAATTTGCTGGTGGTATTTAAGGTTGAACTGACAAATTTGCTGGTGGTACTTAAGGGTGTATCGTTTTAAATTGGTGGTACGCAGTCCGTCAGAGTTTGGGAACCGCTGCTCTAGACCAGTATGGCTACAACCTGGATACTTGGCTGGCCAGGGAAATTCTGGGTGGAATAATGCCACCCTCAGGCAGCGTTTCTCAACCCGTGGGTCATGGCCGAAAAGTGGGTTGCAAAGAACATATGAAAGGGTCGGGAACAAACTTTAAAAATGCATTCTCCTTTAAAGGAGAAAAATGTGGGAAACTGTGGCTTTTCCCTTGCAGGGTGGCAGAGTTACAGCCTGCAAGGGGGCTGCTTGGGGCCTCCCATGCCCCCACTTGCGGGGGCTGGGCGCAGGTGGCAGCTGGTTGGGAGTGAGGGGCACTGGGTTGGGACTGGCCATTGGTGTTTCCCAATGCGTCCTGATACAAAAAAGGTTGAGAACCATTGCCCTAATGGACTTGGCATGATGCGACAAATGACAACAAGGAGCATAGGTCTCCAGCTGCAGTAAGAGGAATTTAGGTTGGAAACATTTTCTCACTGGGGGGAAAGCAAAGCATGGGGAGGGAGCGTCCCCATGAGCACACATGTGCGTTCCCCACAGGACAAATAGCTGCACACATTTGTGCTGCTGCTATTTGTCCGTGGGCATGCCCCTACACGTGCACTCCAACACGGCAAATAGCCCTGGGTGGGCTAAGGGAGGCTGGGGTAGCACCTGTGCTGGCCTCAGCAACCTCACTTGGGGGCCTGGAGGCCTCCTGGGGCAGCAGTGGCAGTGATTTGGGTGCTCAGAGCCTGGCCAGCAACCAGAGCATGGTTTTAGATGGCAGATCCCTTTCTGGTAATGTACACTGCTGCTGCATGCGTCCCACCACACATTTTTTAGTGGCAGTTTTTTTAGACACTAGGATCTCCCAGTGTCAAAAAAAACCTGCAAATCAGCAGCATGGTGAACGTGTGCACATGCACCACATGCAGTTTGTGGTGCCACAGTTGGCATGTGCACGCTCATGGGGATGCGCCCGCACAGGTTACCTAGTGAGGCTGTGGAATCTCCATCCTTGGAGGTTTTTAAGACCTGGCTAGATAGAGCCTTGGTTGGAATGGTATAGTTAGGGACACTCCTGCTTTGAGCAGGGGGTTGGACTAGATGATCTCCTGAGGTCCTTTCCAACCCTTATTTTCTATGATTAGGATCTTACCCCTCCTCCCCCTTTTAAAATCCCTGGTTGGGGGGGAGGGGGGGGGGAGGATGTGCTCCCGTTTCACCACAGTGCTAGCAG